GTGCGCCGATGGCTCGGTCTACCTGGTGTCCGTCTCGACGGGACGCACCGTGAGTGCGCTTCTGCTTGAGCCTGCAGACTGCGTGGCTGCCGTGGCCTATTGCCTGCCTCGCGAAGCACTGTGGCTGCTGACACATGCGGGACACCTGCTGTGTGCCAATGCGGCTCGCTGCCCCATGCGGGTACTGCACCGCCTGTGCCCGCCGCCACCCCCTGCGCCCAGGCCCTGCTGCCTGCACCTCTACAGCCACCTCACAGACCCCAGTAGTGCATTTGCCACCTGGGAGATTGTGCGCCAGCTCAAGGACGAGCTGTGCCCCAGTGACATGGCCTGGGCCTGGAAGGACAAGAACCGGTGGGTGTCAGAGACAGTGAGGGCTGGGCAAGGCGACAGGGCCCGCACCAACAGGCTGCTGCCACCCGCAGGTACCTGCCTGTGGTGGGGCACACCGACGGCGCCCTGTCCGTGCTCGACTTGCGCTCATCGAAGAGAGTCTTCCACATGGTGGCACACAGCCCAGGACCCGTCACCGCCATCGAGTCCACCTGGAACAGCATCGTGTCCTCCGGTCAGTACGTCTCCTCCCCTAGGAGGTGGCCTGGGAACCCCGGCTTCCCCCCCAACCATGGCTCCCGCCCCCAAGGGGGAGACTTGACTGTGAAGATGTGGCGCGTCTTCCCCTACGCTGAGGAGAGCCTGAGCCTGCTTCGCACCTTCTCCTGCTGCCACCCGGCCGTGGTACTCTGTGCACTTGGGAAGCACGTCACTGTGGGCTTTGAGGACCCCCACAGTGCCACCTATGGCTTGGTGCAGTTCGGCCTGGACAGCAGCCCACGCTATGATCACCAGCCTCAGGACGACCCCACAGACCACATCACCGGTGAGGGAACAGGGCAAAGGTGACGCCCAGGCCACCGTATGGATCTGGTCCCTGACCCTAAGCCCTGGTCCCCAGGCCTGTGCTGCTGTCCCACGCTTAAGCTGTATGCCTGCTCCAGCCTCGACTGCACCATCCGCATCTGGACAGCAGAGAACCGCCTGCTGCGGTGGGCTGGGGCTGGGAGGGCGAAGGGAGGGTCAGGGCGTGGGGGTGGCCCTCTGGGTTCTCCTGCCTCTGCCCTCAACCAGAGCCCAGCAGCCTGATAGGGGAGAGAGCCTTGCCTCTGCTGCTGCCTCGGTTTTCCACTCTATGGAGCAGGGCTGGACTCTAGCCCTGAACATCCCTCCAGGCTCCTGCAGCTGAATGGTGCCCCTCAGGCCCTGACCTTCTGCAACAACAGCGGGGATCTGGTGCTGGCACTGGGCTCCCGCCTCTGCCTGGTGTCCCACATGCTCTACCTGCCCACATCTTACCTGGTTAAGGTGTGCACTGAGTGCCAGGTGGGCAGGGTGGGGCTGCTGTCAGCAGATGAGCCTGCAGGGCCAGGGCTCCAGGCTCCTCTCCCTGCTCAGAAGCTGTATGGGAAGGTCCCCGACATGGTAGACGACCCTCCACTGCCCCTGAAGAGCCAGGAGTCGCTGACCTCAGCCCAGCTGCGGAGGCTTGCCAACCTGCATGGGGCGGCCAGCCTCAGGTCTGCTAGCCAGCCTGGCTGAACTGTCCTGGAGGTCCCCGCCCAGCTCCCTGGGTCAGGGCCAGGCTGTGTCCCCAGCATGAGACCCTGGGGCTCCCAGTCCCCTTGGGCCACCGCAGGCCTGTCCCAGTCCTGGCCTCCCCACTCCTGGCAGTTGGTTGTTCCCCACCAGGGGCTTGGCCACCCACCTCCCGGGTCCTTGTCCCACCTCTGCCCTGTCCCACTGGTAGTGCCGCCTCGTGTCCCACCCACGCCCGTCCCTGTCTGCAGCACAGCCTTGTCCTTCATCCATCGCCAGACGGCAGCACCTCAGCAGCCAGTGTTGGAGGAGGTGGGGTGGGTCCTGACCCCCTCACCACCCCGGTGCCCCAGCCCTGCCCCCTGCCCAGGCTTAAGCCACTCCCCTCAGTCCCCGGGGCAGCCTGGGATCCCTGTGGTTGTCCGGGCAGCACGCGGCAAGGCTCGAGGAAGAACAGGCTGACCCCTGACCCCCACCCCAGGACTTGGAAGCCCTGGTTGCCCGGGACCAAGACCTTCAGCAGCTGAGACTGGGGCTGGTGAGCCCGGCCGCCCAGGCCCCACTCTCTGGGCAGCAGTGCCAGGAGGCCTTCGATAACTACCTCCGTCTGATCTACGGCCCCGGCCTGTTGGTGAGTATGGGGCCTCCCCCAGCCCCCCACTTTGCCCTGTGCTTCTGACACTGCCCTTCTGCCCCATCACTGCTGACAGGGCAAGTATGCTGGAAGAGAGTCCCAGCAGTGCAGTGCCTTGCCCCTCACTGTGGAGAGAGAGACCTGGGAAGTGTGCAACCTGCCCAGAGACGCCCCTAGCCTCGGACAGGCTGGGGTCTGCACTGAAGCCCCCCCAGCGTCAATGACCCTGCCACCACAGGACCTGGGGGCTCTGGGCCGGCGATTTGCCCGCCCTCCCCGAGTGCCCCTGCCTGTCCCACCCCACCACCAGAGGGTGCACAGCAGAGCATCCCAGGTGAGGCCTCCCACCTCTCCCACCCCTCCCATCCCTCTGCCCTCACCTTGGGATCCCTGTCCCTCGCCTCTGACTCCTCTTCCTGGGCCCTAGCTGCTGGCTCGCTCCTCCTTGAGCTGTGAGCTGGGCCTCAGTCTGGACCTGCAGCTGCAGTTGGAGTGGCTCTGCAGGGAGACGCCTGTGGCCCCGGACCCCCTGTCCTCCCACCTGCAGCATAGGGTGAGGGGCCTGGGCAGGTGGGGGTGCTGCCCAGCCAAGGGCAGAGCTGCAGGGACTCTGGAGTCCAAGCTTGACTCAGCCCTGTCCCATTCCCAGATCCCCCTGCCACTGAAGAGGCGGCCCCAGGAGCTTCTCTCCAACCTCGGGGGCTTCTTTCCCGCCACCATGCAGCCCTACAAGGTGGGAGCCCCTTGCTCTCCCTAGAGGCACTTCCCTCCCTGTGGGGACCCTTCTTGTGTACCCCATCTTCCCTTTGCCGCAAACCTTTGTGTCTAAATCTGACCCAAGGGCCATGCCCACCCACAGCCCCGCGCCCCTGGCCCAGTTCCAGTGCTGCTGCTCTGTGTGCCCTGCATCCTTGCGCTCTGGGACCCGGCTGCAGAGAGCCAAGGACCCCAGAGCAGCACTGGGCAAAGCCAGAGCCTCTGCCAGCTGGTTGTGCCTGCGTACCCCTCCCTAGAGAAGATGTCGGCTGGGGAGCCCCCTGCAGACTTTGTCTGAGAGCTAGCCCCTTGCAAGGCACTGTCTGCCTACACTCTCACATCCAAATGCCCAGATAGGCCTTGTCTGGCACACAGACCTGGTCCTCCTACCTTCCCAGGTGGGTCATTGACCCCCCCCAGCCGCTATGGCCTCTACCCAAGGCCTGAACAGCCCCTCTCTGAACTCCTACTGTCCCTCTCCTGTTGGTGTGTCTCTGCTCCAGGATGGGAGGCTGAGTCCCATGGAGAGCATCTGGGGTGTAGGGGTTCCCCAAAGGCCGCCTGTTCCCCAGATTTCCCACCTCAGTTACCACAGTTGATGCTGCCCTGACTGCCCTGTGCCAGAGATTCTCTCCCTGTCTGTGCTTGTGGGGGCAGGGCTTTGAGCCCAGCTCTCAGAGACCCAGAGACCTGGCTGGCGGGTGCACTGCCAGGGCGGCCTCTGGGGCAGGGCGGAGCTTGATCCTCAGACTGCCCCGTGGTGCCACCCCCGACCTGCACCTCCAGAAATTGACACGGCCTGTCCACTTCCCGGGCTGCGTGCCCAACTCCGCGGTGCTGCAGCAGATGTGGCTCCCTGGGGAGGTCAGAGGACTCAGTGCCCTGGGCCAGCTCACCCACAGTAGCAGACCAAAGGCAAGGGGCAGAGCTGGGGGTGTGCTGGCGGGGCCAGGGAGGGGTGAGTGGGAGGGCCTGGCTCCCAGAAGCCCTGCAGCCACTCGCTCTCCCCTTCATAGCCAGGCGTGAGCCAGGACGACCTGTGGCTGGTGAGGGGCATCAGACGGCAGCACGCCATGTGGCAGCAGAGCCTGATCCAGTGGTTGGGGGAAGAGGAGGACAAGGAGCTGCTGGACTGGGCCTCAGATGCCCTGAGCCCCTGTGGGCAGCTCTCTGACCAGCTGCTGGAGTCTGAGGAGCTAAAGGCTCAGGTGGGTGTCCCCTGGTGTCAGGGTTAGGGAGCTGCTGGAGAGGCAGGGTCTGCACTGCTGCCGCTCCCCCCAGGTCTCTGAGTACTTGACCCAGAGGCCCATGGGCTCCCATGACGACACCACCAGGACAGAGACCCATTTCCGCCGCCCCCCACACCAGCGTGGGCGCGCGATCTGGGAAGAGCGCCACGGGCACCTGCCTAGCTTCCTGCATTTCTTCGTTGGCCAGAACTGGTTTAAAAAGCTGTTCCCCATCTTCACCCTGGAGGTTTCGGGGGAGCCTTGGGAGCGCGGGCTCAGGTATGGGATGGGGAGGCTGGAGGCCTGGGCTGGGGCAGGGGGCAGGCCTCAGCATGCGGGTCCTGCAGGCGTACCCTGAGGTGGGCACGGTGGAGGGCCTGGCCTTGCTGTTCATGGACCTGCTGGACGAGGCCTCTTGGGCCAACCGCGTGGACATCCTGCATGCGCTGCTAAGGCTGCTGCCCGACGTCAGCAGAGGCCTCTGTGGCCGGCTGCAGGGCATCCTTGTGCGCTTGCTCAACCTGGACCAGCCGCCGAGCTTCGAGGTGAGCCCCAGCCCCCGAGAGGCCCCGCCCCGGGCCCCAGCCCCCGGCCCAGCCCCTCCTCCGCCGGGCGTGATCCGCTCCCATCCCCCGCACTCAGGACAAGACCCAGAAGCAATTCGTGATGCTGGCGCTGCAGCTGCTCCTGGCCTGCTCCCTGGAGTCCCGCGAGGTGGTGCTGGAGCTCATGTCCTACTTCCTCTACTCGCCTGCCTCCTGCCGGTGAGTCCCTCTCTCTACCCGCCCTCCCTGCCAGCCCCGGGGCCTCTGATAAGCCGCCCACACCTGTCCCAGGCCAGAGCTCAAGAAGCTGCTGGACGGACTAGGCCTTCAGGACCCGCAGGGCTTCCTGTTCCAGGAGATGTTGACCTGGGTCCAGGGCCCAGACTGTGACTCCAAGGCCGCACTGCGCAAGCGCTGCTGCCAGAAGCTGGAGGAAATGATCCAGCAGCTGCAGGTCTGGGCGGGCTGGGGTGGGGCTGGGGTGGGGCGGGTCGCTGGGCCACAGAGCCTCCCACCTTCTCCGGAGGCTCTCCCAGGTGAGGCCAGCAGGCTCCCTGCCCCGCCCCAGCTCTGTGCCTCATCCGTCCTCCCCAACCCCCAACCCCTCCCCATCTCCTGGGATCCTCCTGCTCCTCCCTGGGGAGGAGATGGCAGTGGGGTCTCCCGCAGGCTTGGAACTGGGGCAGCACCACTTGGGCCTCCCTATTGGTGGAGGAGGGGGCAGCCTCTGCCTTGGACTGCAGTGCACCCTCCACTGGCTACCTTCCCCTGCAGATGGAAACCCTGCAGCCGTCTGTGGCCAAGTTGTCCGAGATCTTGCCCCAGGTCTCGGAGACCTCAGCACCCCTCCCTCCTGCCAAGGAGGGCCTGTCGCAGACTTCCATGGCCTCTGGGGCAACTGTTCACATCTCTGTGACCCCCTCGGTCCGCTCCTGGATGCCCTCGCTGGTGGTCTCACCTGGGGAGCCGGACGTGGCCGCCCTGGAGTCTCAGGCCCAGCAGATGCCACCACAGACGCGCTTCAGGCAGACCAGACGCACACTCTCTGAGACCCTGATTCACTTCTGCTCTTCGCCCACTGCACTGCTGGATGAGCCTCTGCTGCTGGAGCAGATGGACTGGTCACAGTCAAAAGTGCTGGACCTGGGGCCCATCGACGCCCTCAACTTCTTCTGCAAGCAGCAGCAGGTTAGGCAGCAGGGCCACCAGCAGGAGGACCCAGGGAGCCCGCGCCCTGCCCTGCGCCCACGCCCTCAGGGGCCCAGCACCGTGGTGCCAGAGCTCCGAGATCGCCGGTGAGCTGGCCACGATGAGGCTGGGGAGGAGCCAGTGTCGGGTGGCTGACGGGCCGGCTCAGCCAAACTGTCTCCTTACCATCCAGGTACTACCCTATCCTCCGGCTTCAGGAGGCCAGGGCCCAGAGGTCTCCAATGAAACTGAGGGGTGAGTGGGGACAGGAGTAGAAACTGGGACCTGGCCTTCACCCCAGCCCAGCCCAGCGAGCACTGACCCCACCCCAAGGCCTCACTGTCCTGCTGGCTCCCAGGTCAGATGCTGTCCCAGCTCCGGCCGGGCCGCACCCTGGACAACTCCATCCGGACCCTGAAGCTGCCGCTGCCACGGGTGGAACTGCAGCCTTTCCCCCTAGACTGGCCCAGGCCTGCCCGTCCACTGCCCTCACTGCTCTTGCAGCCAGCCCTGCAGCGCTACTTCCTGCCAGACGACACGGACCCTGACAGCTACAGCTGACCAGGCTAGCAGCCTCGGCCTGACCCCGTCCCCCCTCCCTTTCCCTCCAGTCTGGAGTCAGGACACAGCTCTCTAGCTGGCTATTTGCCCCTGGCCGGGGCCCAGGGCTGGAATAAAGTCCACATGCAACAGCCAGCACACTGGATGCCACCTTCATCTTTAGGGGCCGCTGAGGTGGGCAGAGAGGTCTGGCTGGTGTGTCGTGAGCCTGCCGGTGGCCAGCTGCACATGTGAGGCAGGAGCTGGGGGCACGGTGGGGTCCAGGGTGGGACAGGATTTGGGCTGTGGTCAGCACATGGTGGAGCAGCGTTCCTGGTCGGGACGGGCCAGTCTACTCCGGAGAGGGAAGCAGGAGGATGGGTGTGCCCTGCTCAGGCACGCAGCCAACCGTTATCAGTTATTACTGGGGTTGGGGTGGCCACAGGTGTGTGGGGAGAAACCTGCAGTTGTTTGATGCAGGTGAAACCAGGAGTCTGTCAGAGCTCTGCTACTTGTAGGCTAGAAAGGAGGATTGATGAAGCGGCCCTTCGTGCTTTATTCAAGGAGCAACAAAGGGGCAGTGTCGTCTGGACCTTTCAACCTAAAAGTCACCAGGAGGTCGACCATGTCTGTGACGCATAGGGTCTCAAGAGGGCCTGAGCTTTCTTCTGAACGGCTGTGACCTCAGAAGGCACTGACCCAGCCACCGTGGGACCCCGGGGTACATGTCTGCTGGGACTGCCTTTGCTGAGGGCCCGTTCCAGCTTTCACAGCTGGCTGCTGGTGGCCTGGGTGGTGGTTTCTCTCCAGCATTTTCAGCCTCTGACCTCAGATGTTTCTTCTCGGTGGCTTTATGTTTAAAACTGGTGTCCCTACACCTTACCCACAACCCCCAAGCCGTGCAGGGGCTCTTGTTATGGGCCGCCGAGGGGGCAGCTCTTTCCTTGGCCGAGCGGGGCCGGAAGTGCAGATGCAGGCGACTGAAAGCCCTGGCGTTTCTGTAGAAGGAGCCGTGCTGGCTGAGACGGGCTGTGAGGCCCACAGCAGTTGGTCTGCTTCCACTGCTGCTTTGTGGTTTAAATTATAAAAGCAATAAATGCTTTAAATACAAACATGAGAAAGTAGCACAAAAGTTTAAACAAGTCAAAAAATCCCAGTGTTCATAAAGGAAAACAATATATTTATTAGTAAATATTAATATATAATTTTTTAAAAATTAGGAAATATATTAATCTAAATACACCATTGAGACTACAAAGGTGACCGAGTGGGAGGAGACATTTAAAATACATGTACCTAATAATGGCTCATCTCCAAAGTGTATGAAGAACTTCTACAAATCAATAACCACTAAAAAAATCACATAACCCAATAGAAAAATGTACAAAAAGCTAGAATATGATTTCCACTATAGAAGACGTCAAAATAGCAATGTATGTATAGGAAATACACATAGACATATATATTTCTCCGCTCCCTGACTGTGACCTTAAGTGAGTTAAGTTCTCTAAGCTTCAGTTTCCCCATGCATGAAATGGGGCAGTAGTGCCTCACAGGCCTCCATGAGGATGAAATGAATTACTGTACCTGAAGCACTTAGGGACAGTGCTGAGCACAGCGCAGACACAACAAAGCTGGACCCCTTCCTCGTGTCACTTATGAGTAATTTTCAGATGAGTTGAAGATTGGAATGTAGAAAACATAGAATTATATCAGAAGGCAATTTAGAAAAAGTAATACTCAGAAAGGGGAGGCATATTTTCTGATTTAAAAAAATTTTACTGGCAACAGACACCATAAAATCAAAGACCAAACAAAGTGGATCATACATTTAAATGTAAAATTATAAAAGTTTTAGAAGAAAACAAAAACTCTTGGACCTAGCAATGGATGAAGAGCCTTAGACACTACGCCAAGACACCATTTATAAAAGAAGAGAAATCAATAAATGGAACTTTGTCGAATTTTAAGACTTTCACTCTGTGAAAGGCCTTGTTAACAGGATGCGAAGACCATCTACAGACTAGGAAATACCTACAAAGGACTTACCCACAAAGGACACATATCCAGAATATATAAGCAAGTCTCAAAATTGACTGTAAAAGCCAAACCACCCCACTAGAAAATGGGCAAAAGAAACAGAACAGACACTTCACCCAAGAGGAGATAAGGATGGCAAATGAGCCCATGAGGAGACGGGGAAACGGAAGCGCAGGGCAGCTGAAAAAAAAGGTGACACCACCAACAGCCGGGGAGGGTGCGGGGCCACTGGACCTCCTCGTACTGCTGGTGGGAATGTAAAAT